TGACTCTTCAGAAAATTGACCAATTGGTAATATTGACAGTGCCTCAATTATTTAAGTTCCATGAATTAATATTTTGTGAACAGATGTTGACATGTTATACCAAGGATACTTGTCGACAAATTTTTGTGCAGTTAATATACAGTAATTATTAAACTTTTTCAAATCTATTTTGTATCCACTAGATATTGTTAGTAATACTATTTTAAAACAATTAATTATTTCAATATCTACTCCAGTAGATATTGTCGTCATAGATGACGACATTTCTGTATTTTCGAAAAATCGCCTCGCTGTGTTTCCGTCATTTGAAGTTCCATAACAACATTTAGGAATATCAACCAGTAGTCCTAATTTAGATTTAAAATCTTCTTGAATCCTTTTCTTATTTTCCAAAACTTTTCTCTTCTCTTCATCTCCACGCGCTTGCGACTTTTTAATACCGATTTTGTATGACAAATGTAACAAACACTCAAAAAATCGTATCCACGAATGCAAAATTGAAAGCCCAAACTTTAAATTTAAATCATTTGTTTTTATATCTATCATTTTTTCAATTTTATTAAAATCTTTAGATGTACTTCCACATATATAACACCTCATTGCAGACTTAGTTGAAGTGACTGAATTACACACTTTACCATCAATCATAGTAAACATCAAAATATGATTCACCATGATTTCAGTATCGTTAAAATGAACAATAGATGGTTGAAGTTTTTCAATTTGATTTTCTATACACTCCTTTTCTTGTAAAGTTATGTCTACGGTCTTGTGTATAAATTTAATTTTAATTGGTCTACAATATCTGGGTGATGAAAAACGGGGATTTTGCCATAGTATTATCTTATTGGGGTCATCTATATCTCCACTGACTAATTGCAAAGGTACAACAGATGTAAAAAATATACTCGAGTCCGAGTCGCATTCACTATTAAAAACTTGTTTGTATTCACTTTGTTGAGAACTACCATCACAACCCCATTTGGAAATTAAATATAATTTTTCAAAATATTTATCACTCACTGAATCAATAATACTACCCTGTGATTTTAAAATTCTTTGAGTAGTTATATCTAATGATGCTTGTAATTTCACTTCAGCACAACTTTCTGTTATTTGCAAACAAGATTTATCAGGATAACATTAAATTTTTGTGTACTTTAAAAGATAATATGCAGGATAAATATTACAACCATGTTTTTTTGCCTGTGTCCTAATTAAATTGTACTGATGCTTTGTCAACTGAGCCTCATTAAGCAAAGAAAGAGCTTCGTCATTAGAAATAACCTCAATTTTATTTTTACTGTCTTTATAAGATTTTTTGTACTTTGAAGCTCTTGTAGGTGTTGTACACGTAATATTTTTTATAACGTAAGAACTATCTACATTTCCAAATTTTCTTAGAGACATTTGAGCAGCATATGAAAGCATAGTTGGACTATATTGGGTACGTAATTGTTCCGTTTTTATTCTTTTTGATCGATCACTACTATCATGAAATGATGTAGAAGGCCGACCTCTAGATTTGCCCGACTGAGTTGAAATCTTTGAAGGAAAATGTATTTCAGAGTCTAACCAGATTTTATTTTTTAATAGAAATATGTTCTTTTTTCTCTGTGATGATTGCCATTTAGATTTAAACTCACTAATGAAGTATGATAACAATTTATTTAAGGAATTTTCCGGACATTCTGTTAATGTAACTAAACTTTTCTTTAAATGGTCAAATCGTTCAGTAAATTGTTTAGCATTAATTTCTTGCATTATATGAAATAATGTTCTCCGACTTATAGACATATGATTATCACCAGATCCTAAAATTGTATAATATTATAACATTAGTATAAAAATACCAAGTGTTGTTTGAATAAAAACAATTTTAATACGTTTAATCACATGTAATCACATGCAATCACATGTATGTGAATCAAAAGTAATTTACACAATAAAGCGCAAGTATGCGCAATTGTTTTTTAATTTTTTTGAAACTGCATAACATACACTAAAAAAAGATAAGATTGTATGGACTCGGACTATCTCGGAAGTTTACTAAAATTAATGATGAATTTTATGTTTGTATATTTTATTTTAATTCTTGTATTTTTTACTAAAATTGTATATAAAAATATAAAGATAAATTGATTTTATATTTTATTAAACTTAAATACTATATACATACCTCAAGGTAACGAGTTCATTTTTTTTCGTAAAAATAACTATACAACACAAAATATCAGCTATGTTCTAACTAAACTTTTTGTACAGAATAATACCAACGTGCGCGTCGCATCTGTAATGCCATACTCTGGGGTATTATTGCAATACAATTAATACTGATAACAACGTAAAATATTACGTAATTGCTTTAATATTATCTCTATTAGATAAACTATCAACAATTATCATGCTAAATGCATTTTGAAATTTCTAATTTTGGCCAGGTTTTTATGACAATATCCCACTGTGCCACGGAACAAAAGCCACGCCCATGCGCACAGCTTTGCCGCCCGAGTCATCATCTCATTTTGAATTGACTATAAACAATCTAAACAGTAAACACGCACGTCTGACATAAAGTGCCTACACACTGCACAGCAATACTGCATAATGCCTATGATTATTATACAGCTTACATAAAAATAATTACAACGTGTATACAATAATCTAAAAATAATTTTACTTCAAATATTATTTAAACCTCTTGATAAAAATAAAAACACAATAAAATTATTATCGTACTCATATGATTTTGCATTATATCTATAATTATAGCATTCACTGTCCACCTCCACCACCACCCTCTCCCAACGATTATCAACAAATATCAACACAACTACACAACAACAGCAGCAGGTAGAGTAAAGTAAATAGTAAACCGAGACGACATAGACGTATAATATATTATCGTTACAACTCGTTGGGCGGTACTGGTTTGCGCACAAATATCAAAAAGACAACTTGTTTGGGCACAAAACTACCACTCGTTAGGGAACAGTCGAGTCGTAATCATACACATAGTTTGCGCACAGTTACCTTTTAGACTTTAATAGTTTAATACCTTGTATATTAATATTTCTTTATTATTAAAGTGCTTACATACATTTTCCTTCCCCCTTAACAGACTTAGGACTCTATGAATGTATTCATAGGTGTGGTTAAAAATGTATGTTAATTGCTTACTAACCCTCAAAAGCCTGAATTTTTTTTTGAAAATTTTTTTACTTATATCATGCAATTTTAGAGTCTGGTAGATTACTAGAACACAAATAAAATGCTTTGAAATTTTTTCCTCAGGCAATTTCCGAGAAAACAGATGTTACCATATGGTCACACTAGGCTATAATGAGGTGCAATTTAGTTACATAATATTTATAAAGTAATAAATCAAAAATATTCATAGTTTTGTAGTACTTTTTACTCATCTGTATTTTATTTAATATAGAAATATTAGTTTAAGTTAATGACAATGTCAAGTATTTTTAGTTATATAAGTATATAAGTATTTAGTATATAAGTAAAATATAAAAATTATAAAAAAAATCATTTGGTATGAAATGTTTTAAAATAATCAACACAAAGTCCAACAACTTATTACACATTGTAAATATTATAAATTATAAATTACATTATAAATATTCTGAACTGTCGTTAGATGGTAACCACACTACTAGTAAAATCGATAAACATACGGAGAATCAATTGCTATGATTAGATAATAAAAATATAACCACAGACGTTCTTTACGTCTGACTTATAAATAGATTTTGTTGTATTACCACATGGACACATCAGGCGTTGAAGGGCTAATAATTGTAATAAATAATATTTAATACTTGTTCAAGTTAAAAATGCATGTTAATTTTAATTTTAATATAATATGATTGGAATATATACGTGTCTATTATTTTTTACAATAAAAGTTTCCCATTATTTGAATGTATTTAATTTGGTCTATTTCGTCAGATGTATATTTTGTCCATTAGTTTATGCGATGTTCAATTGATTTTATTGACTCCTTACGGCAATAATTATTTATATTTTTGTTGATTGATGTTATTTTTAATTCTGTTTCGCTTTGTATTTTAAGAATTACGCTTATTAATTGGTGTATATGGGGATGTGGAGTGTAAAATTGTTGGTTAAAATGTTTATGAAATGCTTCTACACCGTTTGTAGTTCGAGGTTCGTCTTTTGGATGTTCTGCCCATAACGTAGGATTAAATTTTGAATCGGGAATTTTATATGTGTTTCAAGAACGTAGTTGAAAATGAAAAATCTGACGTTGGGCAATCTGATATTCAGGGCCGGCGTTAGGGGGGGGGGGCAAAACGTGGCATTTGTCCATGGCCTCGCGCCTTCAAGGGCCTCGCGCTTAAAATGTTCATTGAAAAATATATTGATATTATAAATTATTATATTAATTCATTATACTATGAATAAATGTATAGAAATCTCCTAAAATAAAACGTGAAATGTGTGGATCGCCTGGCGAGTACGATTTCACGAGAAATCGGTTGACGGTAGTAAAACAAATTATCAAAACAACAATATTATACTATATTATAATAATATGTCATGTATACAGTATATACACCAACGTCGACCCGTAACACGCCACACGGTATGGAAACCGGGATACCTAGAAAGTTTATCTTATCGCATTTCTTGAATTGAATTAGTCATTATCCGATATCACGTGCAGCTGTCACCGAGTCTGATCACATATTACGCCAGCTATACTACGATAACTATAGATACGTACAATTTAACGTACCTATTTTGAGAATTTGAGTGCTATCGAGTAACGACAACATTAATTGAAGTCAAAGATTCTCAATTTGTACATAATATAATTGAAAACAATAGCAATATTGGAAAGATGTACTTAAACGAATTTTATCAGCAATTTTTTATTTGGCAAAACATGGTGATGCATTCGGGGATCTTCTGATGTCATTTACACGGAACATAATGGTACATTTTTAGGTCTTATAGAGATGATGGCCAAATTTGATCCAGTTATTCAAGAACATGTTCGTCGGATAAAAAATAATGAAACTCGTGATCATTATTTAAGTCACCAAATACAAGATGAACTGATTGAACTAATTGATTAACTAAAACTGATTGATTTAGCGCAAAAAATTCGTCAACAGATTGTAGAAGAAATCAAAGAAGCCAAATACTTTTCTATTTTGATGGACTGCACTCCAGATATTAGTAGAGAAGAGCAACTTTCTATAATTATTCATATTCTAGATATGAGAAACAAAAGTATGTCTACAATACCTTGCATCAAAGAATATTTTATAGAATTTATTAATGTTCATTCTACAACTGGATATGATTTGACAAATATTTTATTAGACAAATTAAATAGAATAGGTATAGATCTAAAAGATTGTCGTGGACAAGCGTATGATAATGGTGCCAATATGAAAGGCCAGTACAAAGGGGTTCAATCAAGAATTATAGCAAAAAATCCTAGAGCATTTTTTTCACCATGTGCATGTCATAATTTAAATTTGTTGTTGGGTGATATAGCAAAGAGTTCCACCGTAGCGGTTGGGTTTTTTGGCACCATACAAAGGATATATTGTTTGTTTGCATCTTCCATAAAACGCTGGGATATTTTAAAAAAACATTGTACATTTTTAACACTAAAGCCACTTTCAGAAACCAGATGGGAATGTAAAGTTAACAGTATCAAAACTATACGTTACCAAGTACCCGAACTTTTTAGAGCATTAGAAGAAGTGGCTTATACAACTTCAGATCCAAAAACGAAAAGTGAAGCTCAGTCATTAGCTTCAAATGAACTAGAAAGCTATGAATTTATTCTTAGTTTGGTCATTTAGTAGGAAATATTAGTCAAGGTAAATACTGTAAGCAAAACTTTACAAAACATTAATATTCATTTGCACAAATGTAGTAATCTTTTAAATGGTCTTTTAGAATTTTTAAAATCATTTCGAATGAATGGTTTTGAATCATCAAAAATTAAAGCTAATGAAATAGTAGATATCATGAATATTAATAAAATATTTAAAAAGAAACGTCTTAGAAAGACAAAAAAACAATTTGATTATGAAAATTCTGATGAAATAAATGATGATCCAGAAAAAAATTTCCGAACATTTTATTTTAATGTAATTGCCGATGGAGCTTTATCGTCATTTAGTGAACGATTTAATCAATTTCAAATTTATAACAACAATTTCAGTTTCTTATACAATATTAGTGAACTCCAAAAAATAACAAATGACGACCTTATGAAGAATTGTTTAAATTTACAAAATTATTTAAGTGATGGAGATTCATATGACATAGTTGCTTCTGAATTGTATGAAGAGTTACTAGTTTTTCGTCATACAATGAAAGAAGATTCTACTCCTATAGGAGCACTCAGTTTTTTAAAAACAATGCCTGGTTCTTTTACTGCTTTTCTTAACATAGTTATTTCACTCCGAATTTTGTTAACCATACCAATAACCTCAGCTTCAGCATAAAGGAGTTTTTCAAAGTTCAAAATAATCAAAAATTACCTCAGAAACACAATGTCTCAAAAACGATTGACTGAATTGGCTACGATTGCAATAGAAAATTAAGTAGCTAACACACTGGACTTTAAAAATGTTATAGAATTGTTTGCGTCCAAAAAATCTAGGAAAAAATTTTAAATATTCAATATTAATTAAATTTATTATTATTTTTTTATTTCTAATGTTTAAATGTTTCGTTATGTAAGATAAAACTCTAAGTCTCTAACCAATTATGACCACATTTGTAATTGATAGTAATTAATAGTATACTAATTGTAAGTTGACAAGTGTAAGACAAGTGTTGACACGTTTAAAACTTATCATTTAAGAGTTGAAAATGTATATTTATTAATGTATTTTTTATTTTTAAAGTTAACAATTTTTTTGTTCAGAAAATATATTTTTGATACATTTTCGCCTTTAATTATGGCCCGATTATGGCCTCTACAGAATATAGGTGACTATGGCTATTGGTAAAATAAGTTTTGCCCAGGGCCTCGCAAAAGGTAGCGCCGGCCCTGCTGATATTAATTGTGTAAAGACATCTTTTACTTCTTCTGAAGGTAAATACGGCAAACCAAAAAACTTTTAAGCCAATTGCCAATATTGGAATTTTTGTTATTATACTCAAGTAATAATTGTTACTTTGAATGTGCCAAAACTAACTTTAAGCTAAATGAAAAGTACAAGCCACAATTTTACAATCGGGATAAAGATTTAGTAAAGCATTGTGTGCGGATATCTCAAAATCTGCATGGAACTCTTTAATATTTACTTCTTGGTTAAGAATGGGTATGCCACAATAATTACATAGAAATAAGAAATACATAAATGTATGAAGACTTAGATTATTTAAAAAAATAGTTCAACTTTATTACGACAAGTCTTAGCATAGACCTAATATATAAAAGGTCTATGGTTAACAACCACCACAGATAAATATAATTTGTTATGATAACAACCATAAATATGGTTTATCATATGGAGTGATAACGAAAACGAAGGGAAAAACTCATGATATCAATGTCGTTGTGTAATATTATACTTATATAAACAAACAATTAATTAAAATATATTATATACAACTTAAATCAGAATTAAGCTAGTTAAAAACAATTAATGGCTAGAAAAAAGCTAGGAGCAAGATTGTGTATTTTTTCAGTCAGATTAAAATGAAAAAGGCCAGATTTAGCCTTAAAAAGGTCAGATTTGGACTTAAAAAGGCCAACATGGCATCACTGGTTAATACCTCATACCACTGAATAGAATAATATAATGATACATTGTTTGTCGATGTCGTCGAAAGCAATTTCCTAGGAAAATAAACCAAGATTTGCTATAATGTTATAAATAGTCGAAAACAAGACCCAATATATATAGTATAATATAGTTATTATAGTAATATGCCAACCACTATACTCATTTCATTAATATTAATGATTATAATAAGAACTTTTAGATTATATAATAAATAATTGATAAATAACTAACATTAATATTTGTTTTAGAAAAAATTTCAATGTTTCACGTTTTTGTGAAATATTGCATGCTTTAAGCACTAAACAAGAGTGGTAAATTGTAGATTTATCATTGTTATATTTTAACTTGAGCTATAAAATTTTCTTGTCATATATTATAATTGTTGAACTATCGTAGTTTTATATTAGTAAAATAAAAAAAATCTCAACTATCATAATATCCATGTATTCTTATTTCTTATCTTAAAATCTTTTAAAGCTTAGTGCTTACGGAAATTTAATTATAATTATTCTAAAAAAAAAGCGTCTGGGGGGGGATATATCCCCATATCCCCCCCCCAAAATTACGCCACTGTCTTCAACTTTTTCTGAAAGATTACATTAATCACATCATGTAAATATATATTATATTATATATATTATAAATAATAATAGTATAATATTGTAGAAATTAATTGAATTAACAAAATGTTAAAAATAAAAATATTGTACATATGTAGGTATATATATATATATATACATATGTAGGTATATTCATATGGGTAATAATATATTATCTATGTTAAAATTTGATTAAATTATATATAAGGACTAATTCCTATGCTCTCAAATATATATTGATAAAAATGTTCAAAAATCTAATCATTATTCTTAAATAATATTGTAATAAATAGGCTGGTTGTCATTAAAAAAAAGATAACAACGATTTTAATATTGGTTTGCTGCATTTTTTTTGATAAGAGATAAAATAACCGAGTGGACTATGGAGTAGATAGTGAATATATTAGATTAAATCATACATAACACAAAAACATAACGAGAATGAGACCGAGATCATTATTCATTATCCGATATACCTGCAGTAAACGTTTTCTCGTTGAACAATAAAAAAAAACAACAATACTTCAATCATCAAAACTTAGTGGAAAACATTTTTTTCTCTTCCAGCACTGTAAGAGATGCATTTGTTTGCCTTGTGTATAGTTGGGTTACTAATCGCTTCCGTTTTTTCGAATGTTATCAATTCACCGGTAAGTTAAAAATTTTTTTCTTATTTTTGTCGAACACGTCTTCCGAATTTGAGTCGTACGTAGTATTTATTAAGAAATAATCAATAACTCGATCAAACCTTTTTTTGATTTCGGTAATGAAATGTGTGCGATAGTTAAGGAATAATGAATATACTACAATCGATTACATTGTTTTTAACAGTATTAGTTGCTATATTTTAACAGAAATATTTTTAGTTTAAATATTTAGTTAAATAGTTTTAGTTTAAAATTTTTAGTTTTAGTTTAAAACTTAAGTTTAACATTTTTTAGTTATTTAATTTTAATTTTAGAAAACATTTATTATGTATGTACCCGGAACCTCGTTAGGAGTTCAAAGGATGACCGGGTACTTCCGCAAGGGCACCTTGGGTTATCGAAATATGGTTGCCCGCGGACGGCTTTAGTTTTATATCCCATTTGGTCATATTCTGTTATGCAATGACCCCTAGTCAAACCAAAATTTTCATTTACAACGCAGATAGCATTAAATGTTTAATTCTGCGACTTGTGATTACAATCACCTTCAATAAAATAATGAACTGAATAGAATATGATTTAATAACTATTAAATCATATTCTATTCAGTTCTATTCACAACTATCTGCTTAACGTTGATTAACTTCGTTAGGTACTATACTATATTCAGTGGCGAAGCGAAGGGGGGTGTGACACCCCCCACGTTTTTGTCCCGGTCGACATTGTCGGGTTAATCAACTGTAATTTTTTTTAATCGGTTGACGAAGCATATTATTTGGTAGGTATAAATGTTTATAAATGTCGACCCCTCGAAAATTTCGTTGCGAGTCGGACTACAATTTCCAAACACGTATTGTTATCTCATATTTTTGTCGAAGGTATTTTGGTCATACATTTGACCACAGATTAAATACACCTTTATTTTTACTCGATATACGGTGTAAACCAATTTTGTGCACCGATTCTATTTTTGGACCGACAAATGATGACGGCGCGGCGGTGATGTAACGTGTGATAACATAATAATGAATACTTCGGTCTTCGACTCACTAGTCATAAATACGCGCACGACTATTTGAAAGCAAGCATGTACAACATTTTTGAAAGAGAATATCGACATTTCGTTACAACA